CAGTATATAGCCTCCTTATCACATCCCCAAGCTATTCAACCACATCACCTTCTTCACAATTCTAGCATTTCTAGGTAAATACCAGAAATTCCCCTATTACATACCCATGTCAAAATCTAGGGACAATAGTTTTTATTTTCCATATTCATGCTTGCTTTCCTGTAAGTCAGTAATTTCAAAGACTGAACTTTAGGTTCTCATTACCTCAAAAAGTTCTTTCTTCCTATGTTTCTCCCCATTTATTACTAGTTCTTCTCCCTCACACTCGCCTAAGAAAATTTAAACCCCTAAAATGATAAGCACTCTGATACTTCTGTATTTTATTTGTTCTTACTCCAACTAGATTGCATGCTTTTTTAAAAAAAAAAATTTCTTTATGCTTACAAGAACTGGGGTTAGATCTGAGGTTGGGGGATGAGAAGATTCACCTGAGATAGAATGGGGAGCAGAACAGGCAGATCCACTGAAATACACTGCTGAAGGGAGCACTGTACGGGTCAGGAGAGGTCTGCCACATCATATGGATCACCGCTCCGGCTAGGAACGGAACTCATGCTGCAGTGGCTGCAGATAGCCTCATAGAGCTGGGCTTTAACCTGTTGCACCAGCAGGGTGGGCCCTAGATTGCATGTTTCTTTGAGATCATCTAACACAATGTCTAACATACAGAAAATTCTAATGTCGAGATTAGTATTCCATTTCCAATTCCTTTCACAAATATAAAGTTCAGTTGCCATTTTTTCCCATGAATTTCCTATTCTCATCTGAATGGTGGTGGTGAGAGAAAAGTTGAATATATAAAGTAAAGGAGGTAGTCTTATATTAACTAAGATGGGCAAGGGTGGGGGGAGGAATTGTAACAGGGTGGTCCCTGGGAAAAGGGGAAGTTTCAGGTTCCCTGCCCCACTCAGAAGGAGGGTGGAGCTAAGAAGAGAAGGAATGAGAAGAGAAGAGAAGGAAGCAGGATAGAGAACAAGGAGACCTGAGGAAGCCACATGGAGCAGCAAGCATGTGATGAAGAAACCGAGCTTGTCTCCTGACCCTGGACTGGTTAAGGCAGATGTGGGTGAGATATCTGTAGGGAGGTGACTATGGCAGTGTTTATATTGATTTTGATTTTGCTCTTTTCCTCTCAGATTTGTCTGGCCATTTCTGACCCTTTTCCATGGGTCCCGGCCAGAAGGTGCTTTAGTCTTGTGGCAGGCTTTCAGGACTTGCTATGGGCCAGTCCCCTTTTGGGTTGACTTTTGCCCACGAGGGGATGGGTAACTTCAGGTGTTTGATTTAGAAGTTACATTCGTTGTGTTCTGTATTGTATATTCACTGTATTAAAGTCCCTTTTCACTAAAGTTTTTTATGTTTTGTCTTGACGCAGGGGATGGCAGAACCCACTTAGAGCAGGTAGGTTTGGGGGCTTCAGGGGTACACCTGTAACAGATTTGCTATCCTATAACAGAATGACACATAAGTTTTGGCACAACATTGTAGCCAACTCCTTTACTCTGAAGATCTGAAAGAGGGAGGAAGTGATGAAGACAGACCAGATAGATGAGAATTTAGATTGCCTTTCACAACTCTGCCCTACAACCTGAAAGAGCAGGACTGACAGGTTCCTGAAGGGACAAATTAGACTTAATCTTAAAGGTATTTTTGTTGACTTTGGTGTTAATGACTTGAGAAGAGATTTAAAATTAAAAGGACATCAAATAATCCAAATTTCATCATCATTCATACACACTTCTTTTTTTAAGTATTGATTTATACATACAAGAACTGGGGTGTAAGCCAGAGGTGTAGAGGGTGATAGAATTCACCAGAGACAGAGAGGGAACAGAACAGGCAGATGTACTGAAATATACTGCTGAGGGAAGCAGTGGGTAAGAGGCAGGAGAGGTCTGCCCTGCCATGTGGGTCAGCTTCCTGGCTAGGGATCACCTTGGCTGGTGATAGCTTGGTGGCACTATCTTTAACTCCTGTACCACCAGGGGTTACTTATTTCCTATTGTTTTTCTAGAGAATTTCCAAAGGCAAAGAAGAAATGGTTTATGTCCAAATTTAATGTTGTTTAAGTGAAGAAATAATGAAAAAAAAATCTATTTTCAATTCAATGCTAATAAGCACATAAAGGGATCAAAGATCACAAGTTCCTGCAAATTCTCACCATCACCACCCTCAACTCCTTGGGCAAATACGTAAGGCTTGTTTTATTTGGAAAACATAACACACTTTAAAAGTTTCTCCCTGGCAAAAAACCCAAAAGATACTATAAAAATGTAGTGCACTTGGGCCCTCCCTGGTAGCGCAGCAGGTTAAAGGGCAGCACTAAGAAGCTAAAGCCACTTCAGCATAAGTTCAATCCCCAGCCCTGGAAGTGGCCCACATGGCTCAATAGACCTCTCCTGGAGTGCCTGCTGCTCCCCTCAGCAGTGTACTTAGTCCACCTGTTTTGCTCCCTACTCTGTCTCTGGTGAATCCTCTCACAGGCCCTGCACCTCTGGCTGTACCCCAGTTCTGTATGTATAAATAATTTTTTTTTTCTTAAAGATTTTATTTATTTGTACATACAGGGCTGGGGTACAGGCCAGAGGCTCAGGGGTGGCGAGAGTCTTCACCAGAGACAGAGTGGGGAGCAGAACAGGCAGATCAACAGAGTACACTGCTGAGGGGAGCAGCGGGTGGGTCAGGAGAGGTCTGCCACGCCATGTGGTCTCCTCTGGTGCCAGGCGGGGATCGAACTCATGTGGAAGTGGCTTTAGCTTCTCAGTGCTGTGCCTTAACCGGATGCGCCACCAGGGAGGGCCCATCTTTTTTTTTTTTTTAAATGTAGCACACTTAATACAATGAGCACCCATGGGAAACCTAAGATTAACATTTGCCATAAATAACCCAGGAAAGAACATTAATGAATGCATGGGAACATGTGCATATGTAAAGAGTTACTACAGGACTACAGTTACAGGTTAAGCTGAAAGTGTGCTAGGAAGGGGAGGTGGTGCTTCCCTGAGAACAGAAGGTAAGATGGGTTGGAAATTCCCAAAGGTGAAAGTTACTTTTTTTACTTCTTTTTGGCAAAATCAGTGTGATTTATCTAACATTCTCTAAACTGAAAAATATATTAAAATTTAAAAAGCTATATACAAAATCATTCTTCACAACTGAAAACCTTAAAGATTACCTTTAACATTTCCTTTACATGTGAAATCTACAAGCTCATTTGTGGAATGCATTGCTAATAAAGTGAATTGCTAATAAATTTGAATGAAGCATTCAAGTCTTCCTGTTACTAAACAGTCATTCTGAAAAAGATTACAGATATCAATAGGCTAGATACTAAATCAACATAACAGCAGGGATTAAAGTTGCCAAAGAATATAAACATAAAATTGCAGAAATAAAGAATCAGAAAGGACCTTAGGTATGATTCTCTCCCTCCCTTCATTCAACTATGCGCAGAAGCCTTCCCTGACCATCCATGTGAAATAGCTGCCTATTCACACTCTGTTCTTGTACACAGATTTTTCTCATAACAGTTACCATTACGGGTCAGTATGTTATGTATCTGCATCTGCTGACTGTTGGCCTCCTGACTAAAATGTAAAACTCTATTCAAAGACTTTTCAGTTTTGTTAATCTCAGAGCCTAGGGGCACACTCTAAGCCTGCTGAATCAATGAAACCTAAATTCAGAAAGGTTAAAAGATTTCTTCAAGGTCACAGGGCTTTCAGGAAGCACAGCCCATACTATAACCCTCGCTGCTAATATCCACAGCCACTTCCACTACCCACAGCAGCCTGTTGCAGCATATGATACTATTTAACAGATTTCTCCTTTTCTTTTTTTTAAGTGCCAAAGAAAATAGATGTTACCAAAAAAGGTGACACATTGGGTAGCATTTTAACTTCGAATTTTTCACCAACCAAAAATTACTCAGTTTTCATATGCATACAGGATGAGCTGTAAAACAGAAAGACACCATCACAGTTCTTCGAGTTCCTTGTGAAATTGGTGTACGCCTGAGAAGTTTTATGAACGGTCCCTGAAATAGACTCACCATTTCAGAAAGGCCTGTAAAGTATCTTCCTCACTTTCATTCTTCCAAGAACCCATTAATACCTTCTCTCTGGATATACTTTATCTTGAAGATAATGCAAGGAAATGTCACCGATTTCAAGTCCCTTTCTGTTACTTTTAAAGTACAAGTCAACCTCAGAGAACACAACATAAAATTAACCCCCGGGAAATTTTTAGATCCTGAGAAGAGCAAAACACCTCTGAACCATCATCTGATAGTGGTCATGTGGGTCCTGCAAGTCAGAGTCCACGAACCTGAAATACCTCAAAGAAAAGCGGGAAGAAAAAGGGTGGGGAAGAATATTTACATATATAACTAGGGAGCTGATATTCCTGATAAACTTTCGCAAAATGTAGGCGTCGTGGGCTAAGTCAAGGCCCCACGGACACAACTTCTGCGGTCTTATTCCAACGCCTGTCTTTCAGTGACAGGAGGGAACTGCCAATGCCATTTGCGGCGAACGTCTCAGCACCTCGCACGCGGCTCACAAGCAGGTGATTTGCGCGACCCCTCTCAATACTACCAGCCGCTCCCCTAGAAAATCGGACGGGAAAAGCTAAAATGTGGACTGGCCAGAGAGTTGAGAAGAGACAGAGTTAAGAGTGGGAAGCAGCCGACGAAAAGCAGCCGGGCGGGTAAACAACGCATCACGGACAGGTGTGGGAACTCAGGTCAAGGAAGTGGGATCGGCGAGAGGTAGGGTGAGGGGAGGAAGGGGGCCGGGGAGGAAGGGGGCAGGGGTCTGGGTGGGACCCGCCAGCGCAGAGGAGGAGGGGACGGCGGCGACTCTGGGGCCTTTGAGTGGAGGAGGACGACGAGTAGCCTGCGGCAGGAGGAGGGGACGGCGGGGGGAGGGGGAAGGGTCCGGGGCGGGGCGGAAGGGAGCGAAGAGGCGGGATGAAGAGGACCAGGCCGGGAGGGTCTTTACCTGCAGCTCCGCCCGCTCCACCTCCCACTGGGCTCTCTCCACTTCGAAGCGGGCCCATTCGTGCTGCAGGAAGTGCAGGATCCCCGGGAGGCTGTACTGGGCTCGAGTCGCCCCCGCCGCAGCCACCCCGTCGCCGGCCGCGGCAGCCTCCGCCAAAGGCCCGAGCCCCTTGGCACCGCCGGCCCCGGGGTGGTTGTTGCTGAAGAAGACGCCGGGACCCGCCTGCTCGTCCATGGCGGTCGCAGAAGCCGGGAAGCTGCCCAGGCGCCCAGCAGCGGAGGCAACGGCGGCAGCCAGGAGCGCCTCCTCCTCCCTCCGCCGCTCCCCGCCCACACCCCAGTCAGCAGGGAGCAGCCGCTTGGGCGCGGGGGCCGGCCGAGCCCAGGACGGGCCGGGAAATGGGTCAACTGCAGCGCGCAGGCGGCCCAGGGCTTACTGGGAAATGTAGTCGCGGAGCGTGGCGCCTGCGGGCGCGACGGAGGCGGCCTGAGGAGCTGTGAGCGGCTGGGCGCCGCCAGGCCC